CTAACTACTACTCACCCTGGGATGCAGTAGAAATGGCTTTAAAATCTTCCAGTTTCCTGCTTTCTGCTACACTACCTAGGAGCTCGACTCCAGAACCTGACAACCTAATGCTGAGCCAGGTACCAATAGATGCCCAGTGTCTCCAATTAAAAAAGGGCAATGGACTGCCAATGTCCCGATTAAGTATCACTTGAGGGATGAGCACATTGGAACCTTGGATCTCAGCTGATGTTTTCAAAACAAGGCCAGCCAGAGTCAGTCAGAAGAGGGCATGCTTATGACGAAAGGAGGTCTATTGCCCGAAACAATTAGCATTTCCCGTGAGAGCTTGAAATGTGCCACGTTAGCTATGCGGTGCACTACTGTTAGCGCTAACAAGGCTGATGCTGCACCATATCTGCGAAGCATCCTGAGCTGATCATTCCAGGGCGTGCACATGTATCAACACGTTACATTGCCCTCCACAAAGATGGCCAGCCATTATGTATCAATGAAATTTTTATCACTTATGATTTATTTTTCACTTTTGATACTTTAATAATTAAAATACAGTTTCATTGATTTCTCCCTTCCCTTACCATCTGGCAATGTCTTCCCAAGACCCCTCCCTCCAACTCTGCTATGGCCAGGTTCGTTCTCTGAAAGCACAGCTTGCGTCTCTTTTTGTTTCTGCTCAGCATCCCTACCATCTATATAGTGAAGTGCAAAGACCTGGCAGCCAGGCTTCTCCCCCTGGCTCAGGCTCACCTGTTCACCTTTCTCCATCCTGGCCTCTCCCGAAACCCATACTTGGGCCTAACCACATCAACGAGCAGTCATCTGGATGAGCCAAGCATTGTCATCCCGCCTATCCCAACCCCATGTAATCATCAAGGTGTGGGATCCCACAAGGGTTTCCTAGTGAGAGCTGAGCTTGCTTTACCTAGCAGGGCTGCATTAGGGGGATGGCTGGACCACGTGCATGGTCACCAGGTGTCTGGGATGGTCTGCACTTGGCTGTGCTGTGGGGAGGTCTTTTGCTCCACCCCTTGGCATTCCTTTAAAAGCCCTTTAGTAGAAGCAGAGGGGCTGGTGGGTTTTGACCCCAGGCCCTCCTGAGGCTATCCTGTGTTTCTATCTGTCTCCCTCCTCTATATTTCTATCTACATATGCCTCGTTTCTCCCAGCTCAAGAGTACCCTGGGGAGAAAAGTGGGGGCAGGCCCCCCACACCAAGGACCATCACAAGTCTCATGTCGCTACCCCCACCCAGTGGCATCCTTGAACGTTTCTACCGTATTGCCCTTTAAATGGCTCATTTGGCTTTAACTAGCCCTAAATTATCTCCTGCTCATGATTTCTCATCTACCATGATTTTGGTTTTTAGCAGAATTCTATGTTCTGGGCACAGACTAACAGCTTTTGGTTCACTCGGCATCTGAGAGAATGTGTTCCTGCCCATCTTTGAGTACAGCATGCTACAGCAGAAAAAAAAAAAAAAGCGAAGCCCCACACAGCCCTCATCTGGCAAAACCTTCCTGAGGGTTGGTCTTACCCATCATAAAACTATAATGGCAAATGTATGGGGATGGGGTTAGATTCAGCAAGATAACCTGTGTTAGGAGAACTGCATAGGGAATATTCAGAAAAGCTCTATTCCCTCCTATTCCATAGAGTTTTGTATTGCTGCTTCTCCCAAGCTCCTCCATTCACCAAAAAAGGTCCTACCAGGTCCCCTAATGGCACAATGCCTAGAGCATAAGTGCCCCATATAGATGAGCTTGATGGGTGAAAGACGATGCATGAATGAACTGATAAGAACAAACAGAAGGTTAAGAGTGCATCTTTATCCATGCCTGCTCCCCGCCTCCGAGTTGGTCCCCCCGAAGTGGCTTCAGTTAGTTTTAGGAGGCCTCCTGACTGATGTCCTCTGCCATAGCAATTCCATGGCCACTTTGCTAAGGAAAAGCTTGGCAGGGACCCCTGAATGGGGCTTCAGCGTCCTTGCGAGTGAAATCTGAAGCCTGCGTGAAGCTTGTGCCTCGAGGATGCTGAACCCCTCTGAAGTACCTGGCAGGCTGTCTGTCAGAGCCCAAGTCCCTCCTGATGCCCATGTGCAGGGATACTCCGTTCTTCTAAGCAGTGGGGTGAATACCATGGTAAGACAACCTAGTTATCCAGTTCTTCAGCAGCTCTACCTCTGACCTGGGCCTCAGAGAAGTCACCATGGCAACTCACAGCCCTCGCTCGGTTTCTCTTTCTTCATGAAGGAAATGGGGGAAAACAACAGAGATCGCAGTCTCTTACCCACGCCAGGATTTATCATTACCAAAGCTGGGCTCTCGTTCCCTGTCTTTTAAACACAGGTGTCTGCCATGAAGCGCAGGTATCTATTTTAAACACATATATCTGAATACCCTCCCTTCAATTAATCCCTAATCATGAAGAACTCTGATTTGGTGTAGAACCTTAGCTCAGTAATATTTAGATTATTCCCATTTTGAATCTGTGTTTATAGCCCATAATAATGAGGGACTGTAAGGTTGGGTGACATTTTTAAGGGCTTAGATTTATTTCAGTGAGACCACTGGAGGGTTTCGTAATCTCACTGCCCACATGGGAGGAAGAAGTGGGTCTGGGGTGGTGGTGGGGGCACCACTCCTTCCCAGCGGTACCCCAGCATCCAGCTAAGGTATTATATTTTCCAGGGCTTTTCAAGAGCAGATTGCAATCTAGGTTCCTCAATGCACTTCTTAATAACTTTTTGAAGAGACGACAGAGTCTCTGAATTGTTGACTCAAATTGTACCAGCTTTCCAAGAATCCTGCTTTCAGAGGTGGGAATGATGAATTGAAGAGTTATTTATTTGGATTTTTAAAGTGTGTCTATTATTGAGGCCCCTGGGCTTGTGTACAAAAGATTCAAGACACAATTCCCTGAGAAAAATAGACTAAGTAACCTGTATGCAGGCCAAACCAGCTATAGTCTAGGCGACCATTTAATTCTGGCCTTTTGGGGAGGGCCTAGTGGTTCAGCAGGCTTATAAGGCTAATGTGTGTATGTGTGTGTGTGTGTGTGTGTGTGTGTGTGTGTGTGTGTGTGCGCGCGCGCACGCGCGCGCATGTGTATATTGGTAGAAATGAATTTGCTGGGTTGTGAAAGGTAAGAACAGGTCATTTCCACCAACACTTTCAAGTCAAAAGACAGGCCTTGCGCTGAGATGAATGTAGCTCAGAGGTAGATTATTTTCCTAGCATATACAAGGCCATGAGTTCAATTCTCCTCCTCCTATTCTTTTCAAAAGACAGATTTTTTATATATATATTCTGAGTGATCACCAGTCCACAGAAATTCTATAGAAAAGGCTATGCCTCTAGCTCCCTAGATAAGCTAAAATAAAATTTTTTAAAAAGCCCAGTGGTATTTGGATATAGGCCCGAAGCATCCCAAGAGTCGTGGACATATGACAGCCAGGATCTAGCCTGAATAGTCACTGGGAAAGAGAAACTAAAGGTAACTCATTCTTATTTGTGACTCATAGAGAAGGAAAGCATAGAACGAAAAGAGAGAAGAAAGGAAACATGAAAAGGGAAAAGAGGCAGGCCAGGCAAGCCATGGATGCTGATGAATGCATCCAGAGAAATAGCCTTCCTTTTTTTTACCCCACAGAAGAGTGGCAGTGTGATGGAAACATTGGATGAGGAGTTATTTGGTGTGAAATCCTGTGCATACGTGCCTCCCATACTGCCCTTGATAGACTTGGGTTTCAAGTTGGAGAGGAAGAGATTCATACTCGCTCTTGACTGGTGCCATACTAGGTGTCCCGGGCACTATAAATGTGAAGGTCATTTAACCATGTTTTCTGACCTTAAAGAGGTTCAGTCCCTGGGAAAGACAGAGGTGTGAGGAAGTGATTCCCATAAAGCGAGGAGACTGTGGATAAAGCCCGTCCCAGAGCCATGGAAATGTGGAAAACGCTATGATCGCATGAAGCAAGATACCACAACAAAGCCGTGGGAAGCAGGGAGGAGCCGCACAGAATGGCATGGGAATCCTGGCCCCCTCTTGAGAGCAGCTGGTTCTGCAAAGCCTCCCACCTCCTGCCGCCATCTCCTCCCCCCCCCCAAACATGTCCCCTGCAGGATCGATCCACCCCTGGTTGTACACACCCCTCTCACGATAGTCTTTCCACACTTTGTCGCACATTAAACACTCTGCCTCCTTCTAATATACTGTCAACCCCTGGCATGCGAGGAGCATGTTTTATTCATGTTTGCCTCTTGAAAAACTATAGTACTGTGTCAGATTGTGAGCTGATAATATGTGTTTGTTGGAAGGAGAGAAGAAAGAAGTGGAGAAGGGGAGGAGATGAATTTCATAGGCTTCCAGCGCCCATTTCCGTAGCCCACTGACATTTGTTTGGGTGTGTCCCCTCGTGCCCCTGCCAGTGAGGAAGCCTGGCCCTCAACCTTCACCTCCCACCCCCACCCACTGCTCTCGTCCATGCTTGTTCTTCCCATCCCTGCCCTGGTCCCTTCTGCTCTCACTCTCCTCTCTGTTCCTCCTCTGTTTCCTACTCTTTCCCCAAGTCCTACACCCCCCACTCAGCCTATGCACCCTGTCTGCAAGCCTCCTGCCCTGGCATCCCGTGACTTCTGATGGGAGCAGAGACCTGCCATGGCTCCCAAAGAGCAATCAAAGGAAGGGAATGATGAGCGGAAATCAGGTGTTTCAAAGGAAGCCAAGCTTATGCCTTAGATCAGTGATGAATAAAGAAGGACCAGGATGTTAAGGACTCCGTGGGGGCAAAGGATGGATGGTTCATGATACACAAGAATCATGTAGTGAATCATCTTGAAGGATTTCCAGTCCAGAGGTAAAGCCATAGAGAGCCCATTTTGGGAAAAAAAAAAAAAAATCCTACACAGTGTCTCCAAATTGTTGATCCCCAAGGTTTACCTTTTCCAGCCTCCTCTCTTCACAACTTAAAAACCAAAGAACCAGAGAGATTAAGTGGCTTACCCTAGGTCACACAGCAAGTCATAGTCACCCAACTCTCAGCCCAGGGTCTGCCCGCTCTAATGCATGGATGGCTTCCAGGTCCAGCGAGATGTTGCCTACACCCGAGATCGATGCAGCTGACACACAGACAGCTCTTCTTCCTGCTGAGAAATGCGAGCCGAGAGGCAGAGGAAGGTGACATCTGTTTAATGGCAGCTCTATGGGATGGTTCTGGACTGAATGAGGAATATTATCTCCCGCTAATGCGTTCGAAGAGACAAGGGGAAACAAAATGTAATTATCCAAACGGCTGTTTTTCCCGGATACCAAAACAAATTCTCCCACCCTGGTGAATAATACTACGGGGTCTTTAACAATTGGTTTATGCCCCCATCTGAAAGCTGTCATCCCTCTGAAGAGCATGGGGGCCTGCTTTGACAATCAAAGGGATCGATTTGAGACAGCCACCGTGATCTGCCTTTAGGGTCACCAGTTTCTTGAAGGTTCCAGGCTCTCCAACAAGAAGGGTCAAGACTGGCTCTGTCTCTCAGCTCCCAACAGTGTGGTCTCAAGAACCTCCCTGGGATGTGGCCTTTCTTCTCGGCATCAGTCATGGGCCATTAGCGGCCCATTTGTCTCAAGGCACCAATGACTGAGGGTGGGGAAGAGAAAAGGGAGGAGTCGGAGAAACACCCCATTCTTAGAGGGCCACTCTTTGATAAACAAACCTCATATAGACAGCGCTATAAAGCTCATAAATTAAGCATAATTAATTCATCTCGTCAACCTAGAGAGAGCTTCCCCTCCTGTAAACGTCTGGAGGCTTTTATTTTTACCGCCGTGATAGTATTTATGTTTTATCACAATTCCTGATTATGTGTGCGCCTGTCAGATCCATCCTGAGATTGCAACTCTGAGCATATGAGTTAATGAATCATACTGTATTCCACCCTACCCAGCACCTGCTGCAGACAGAGCCATACCCGTGAAAGTTGCCCAGTAAATAAATTCTTAATGTGAAATGCTAGAAACACTTGTGTTCAATGCCTAGCTTTAGGAGGAGATGTTCATCATAGCGGAAGTGGAGCCTTAGGTAGGAGGTACTGGGTCCTGGACCCCAAGACCTCTGTTCTCCTGATGTCAGGTGGCTGGATAATGTGGTGGGTCAGAGTTGTGGGCAGTGAAAGAATTTTTCCAAGTTGGATTAGGGGAGAAATAGACAGTTTTGTCAAATGCACTGCAAAGGATGAGGTGAACGGTGAAAGAACTTCCTGTGACAATGGTGGACTGTGTGCCGTAAATGAGAGCGTGTGTGTGTGTGTGTGTGTGTGTGTGTGTGTGTGTGTGTGCGCGCGCGCCCCCCCCCCCCCGCCCCCACAATGTATTTGCTTGTGTGTGAGTGCATGAAAAGCTCAAATTTGCCATCAGGTTTTTTTTTTTTCCTCAATTGCTCAATCGCTATCCACTTTATTTACTAAGGTGGGGTGTCCTACCGAATCCAAAGCTCTCCAGTTCTGGCTAAGCTAGCCATCCACCTAACCCCAGAAATCCCCCTGCTCTGCCTCCCCTGTTCGGGGATTTCAAGTGGCCACCACATTTGCCTGGCTTTTCTGTGGGTTCTAGGGAAACCCCGCCCCATCCTCACACTTAAATGGCAACTGCTTTTATCTACCAAGCCAGCTCTCCAGCCAATGAGAGCAGTTCTGATTGGTTGACGGATGAAATGGAGCAGGGGTCTGGGTTTACAGGGTGGCAGCTCCGTGGTCTGGACTGTGGTCAATTTTGATTGGTCATTCTCAGTCCTGCCCTGCCCCCTAGACGTGTGTGGAGAAGCTGATTGGCCATGTTGACAACAGCATACAAACTCACATCCCTGCATTACCCAAATGAACCAGGAAGCAAACCCAAGCCACCCATGCTTAACAGTGCTCCAGACCCAGAGCCTTGATCATGGCCACGAGGACTCTTTATGGAGGCAGAAAAGCCAACGCAGTTGAAGACAGCTACAGAAAAGCTACAGACTGTGGCTGGTAAACCTAATGAGGGCTCTCGGGCATTGGACTGCCTAGATATAAGAAGAAAGATGGGGGGAGGGGGGGATGACAAAACACATGACTCAATTAAAAAATGGGCAGGTGATATGCACTCACACTTCTCCAAAGAAGAAATACAAATGACCAACAAATATATGGGGAAAAAATGCTTAGTGGTATTGGTCATCAGAGAAATGCAAATCTAAAGCACAATGAAATGCCATTTCATCACTGTTGAAATGGCTATTATCGGCGAAACAAAAAGCGAATGTTGGTAAAGATGTAGAGGAAAATGGGACTCTTCCACACTGATGGTTGCCATCTAGATTGATGCAGCCACTATGGAGGTATCTCAAAAAAGCTGCAGATAGCTCTAACCATATAACACAGCTATTCACATCTGGTGTACATACAAAGGAGATGAAATCAGCATACCAAAGAGATACCTGCCCGCCCATGATTACTGCGGCACTCTTCACAATAGCTAAGATACCAGAGTCAGCCTAGTTGCCCATCAACAGATGAATGGATGGAGGAAATGTACTATATATGCACACTGGAGTTTTATTCAGCCATAAATAAAAATGAAATCCTGTCATTTGCCCTGAAATAGATTGAACTGAAGGACATTGTGTTAACAAAACAAGGCAGACACAGAAAGTCGAATGCCGCACATCCCTCTCTTCTATGTGTAGGGAGAAGTCCACATGAAAAGACAATGGTGATTGCTAGGGGTTGAGGAAGTAAAAAGTGGGGAAAGAGTGTGAAAAGAAAAAACGGAAAAAATCAAGGTTGGATCAGATCAGTGTGCTTCATGCTCAAGTGGAAAGATCTCACTGAACTCCACTGACAGGTCCACTTAATGTGTGCTGATTAAAAAAAAAAAAAACATAAACCTTTAAAAGGAGGTTTGTTCAATATAAGCCTTCCTCCCCTTCCTCTTGCAATAATGAAGAGGCATTTGGAGAAAAACTGTGCAACCTCGGGCGCACCACAGGGCTGTGCTGCTGGCTCTGGATGAGGTAGAGTTGTCCTCAAGTCACAGGGTGGAGGATCCGAGCAGAAAACGACAATTTTGTCAAATACACGGCTGAGAGGTGAGGTGGGCGGGACCAAGAACTGCCCAAGACAATGGTGAACTGTGTGCGATGTAAATGAGGGCAAGTGCTCATTGAGTGTATGTCTGTGTGTTTGCTTGTGTGTGAGTGCACTTGCATGTGCAAGGCCGAGTGAGACTCCCAAACCAGACACTGTGCTCTTAGGATGTTAAGTCTGTAGATGAGCCTGGCGGGGGTTGGGGGAGCCAGTCACCTTTGGAAGGTGGATTGGTTGAAGCAAACCACTACCTCCACAGCGAGAGCCTGCAGGAATCGACTGTCTGGAAGTCTTACTGGAGCGTGTATTGATCCTAAAGTCACCCTTAGATGGACTAGCCGTAAATTACCAGTCAGCTTTCATTATGAGCAAGACTTTCAAATTCCAGGAGTCTGCCTTTCTCCCTTTTATTATCCTAATGAAATCCCATGACTTGGCCTCATCTCAAGAAAGCACCCCCAGGAGAAGGAACACGCTTTCTCAGACCATTAGTCAAGCTCCCCACTAAGAAAGCTTGATGCCAAACCTTGCTAGGAATTCTCCTCTGTGTGCGGGACAACATGAAAACCAAACCACATCATCACTTCAGAGGAGACAGGGTCAGCCTGGATAACCCATGCTTCAGGAAGGAGAGACTTGGTCCCAACCCCGACTTGGCAGGGAAGACACATAGGTGCCACTGTGCCTGCTGAAACCTTTGGGTCACCCTTCCAGAGGTTCACAGATTTTTTTTTTTTTTCATTTTCTACCAGCGTTGCTGTGGAAAAGGCCATGTGAGATCTAAGCCTCTTCAAGAATGCCTTTAAACTCACAATACAGTATCGCTAAATATAAGCACAGAGTTGTACAACAGAACTGTCTATAAGTCTGAAATAGTTTTAGTGTTAATTTTTAATTGACATGTAATAATTATACATATTTCTAGTGTATAGTGTTATGTTTCCAAATATGCATATCCTGTGTAATGATCACTTGGGGCAATTAACATATCCATCAACTCAAACATGTCTGAGCTGTTTGTAGTGAGAACATTAGAAATCTTCTCTTGCAGCAGCATTGAAATACAGAATGACATTATTGTTAACAGGAGTGGCTCTCGTGTAGAATAGAATACTGAACTACTTCCTATCCTACTGTGGCTCTGTAATCACTGTTCAAGTTTATCTGACTATGGCTCTGACCTCACTGACCAAGGTCACCACCCTCTTGATGATCAGCATCCCATTGTTCTCTCCTCTACTTCTAAAGAATCAACCTTTTAGCTTCTATGCCATAATGTATCTGATATTCTCAATTGTGCATCTCTTAGTTTAAAAAAAAATTCTATACTGCCACCATTTGTTTATTAAGCCCCCATTATTCATCTACAAATGTGCATAGTAGGGAACCGTGGGTCCTCACAGAGTCTGTAAGGTCGTGGAGGCAAAGAACATATAACAACTCATTATAAGAGAATTAGTACCAACGTGGGCAGGAGGCCGTAAAGCAGACATGTGACCAGGTAATACCACGTGAAAGGGGTTGTATTGCATTTGCCTGTCTGTGGGCCCACAGCCTATTTTATAGAAATTATATGAGAAGCTGTAAAGAAAGGCACCCATAGGCAGTCAACCCACCCTGGGGTTGAACTAATGAGCAGCCAACTTTTCCTGATGCTGGAGCAAACACAAGATGAAAAAGTTTCCTGTGGTGCTCATGGGAGACTCTGCTGTCAACCAGAAGGCTTCTGGGATGCAGGTGCTGGGAGATTTCAGTTCTTACTTGGAGACAAACAAGCTGCAGAGCCCTAAATAGAAGTAGGCTACCTCCCTAACGTGAGGTTCAAATATTGACCAGCTATTCTCTGCGCTTCTCCTTTTATCTGATATTTTCTCTGTGTTCACTTTGCACTTCGGACCAGAACGTTTGTTAAAAAAAAAAAAATGATAGAATTTTATTCATCTTTCCAACCACCTTTGAGAGATTAAAAATTCCAAATTAGTGAAAATCTTAGGAAGGCACCCTTGCTGATTTCAAGGAACGTGCCTAGTGCCATGTAGTCATTGGGAGTTTTAAAAAATATTTTCCAGTTTTCCTTGTAGGAATTATTTATGAGACACAGAACTTCAGAGATGCCCCCGACAGACTTGGCATTATATTGGTGAAGAGCTCTGGCTCTTGCCTGCTGTCTACCACCGTAGTCTTCTCCCTGCTGTCCACTGGCTCTGGAATTTGATCAATACTCAACTTCTCATTAGTCTGAGTCTAAATAGCATACAGTGTCCCTGTCATAGGCTAACTTTACTTGTGGCTTGTGAAAGGCACACACCAATGATATATCACTGAGCATCACAAAAACCAGAAGAATTTTTTCTGAAAACCAGGCTTGACCATCACTGGCAAGAGAACTCTCTGTCCTCCCATCCTCCGAGAAGTCCACAGCTCACATAAGACTTCCTGCCCCCTGCTAAATCGCCTTCAGATTGCACAAGGAGGAACCTGACATAGGAGAGTATGCCATGTTGCATCCCAGCCCTGGTACTTGGAATGATGGATCGTGAATACTCCCACGGAAGGATAGGCAAGGAGAGGCCACGCTTCAGAGAGTTATGTGGCACTGTGGTTTGTCACTGCGCTCGCGTGTGCTCAAAAAGACAAACTAGGGGCTGACTCTGGTCATCTGTGACCCTCACCAGCCAAGGCATCTGCTGTGCCAAGGCTGCTGAGGTTGCAGATAGGACACAACTGGTCTCCTAAAGGCAAGAAGCAGGGTGCTGGTGTGGCCCCGTGAATGAAGAAAGAGCCACGTTCTCCCTGGAAGAATGATGGAAGCTGAGTGCTGTGGTTTGGATGTATTCAGGTGTTGCCAGGGGGGTAGTATTGGGGTTGGGGTGGGTGGGGGGTGATGCTTGTCAGAATCACAAGGCCATGAACACTTCATCCTAATGAAAGGGACTCGGTACCCTTAGGAAAGAGACTTGCCTCTCTGTCTTCTGCCACGCGAGGACACAGCGGCAAGATCCTCACCAGACGCTGATATCTTCTTACTCATGGATGGTGATCTTGATCAAAGACGCTCTGTTGCAGGCATACAGAAAGGAGAAAGATAATTGGCCTTGCTGGGGGGGCTACAATGAGGGCAGAAAGCTGCAGAGGACATTCCCGAAGCAAGGGACAGTGAAAGCAGTGGGAAGGAGAGCGCAAAGGCTCAAAGCTAACTAGCATCGCATGGTCACCATTAATCATTGCTGACGAGTACGGAGTCCTGGTCAGCCAGCCACCTGACCTCATGCTCAGCACACGCAATGTGTCGGCCCGTCCCCTTACCGCAACCCATATGGCAATTAGATGACCTGGTTTCAGAGATTCAAACAACTGGTATTCAGAAGCTTGTAGCTCATGTGGGAAGGCAGAGGTGAACACCACAGGCAGGCTCAAGGTCTTCACACTGAGAAGTTTGGTGGGACCAGGATTCCAGCAAGTGGGACGGGGAGCCTTTGGGGGAAATTCAGATGTAGACAGTCCTGGAATAAGTGGGGAAGACCCCTCTGCTGTTAGGTTTTAGTTCACACCCAGGCACCTGGAGCATTTATTGACCTCAGCTAAACTCAGGTCCTTCTCTGTCCAAGACAGCCCAGAATAAACAGGAGTCAGCAGCTGTGCAGGGCCCATGCTGTGCTCAGGGCCCAGATGGCACTCTTGATTTTCTTTATTCGTCTAAACGTCATTTTCAATGTGATTGAGTGATTTCATCACCCCAGTGGGTCTTCTTGGTCTCCTAGCCCTGAATCAAGCAAGAGAGGGGTAAGTCTGTAAGATCTAGAAGGTACTTGGCACTTAGCAACGGAGTTACCTCCAAGTGGGCAGGTTATCCACGTGTCAGAGCCTGGGTCAACAAGAAGGCAGGGACCCTCTGGTCCCTCTCTTTAGTGACAGTGTTACATTTCTGAAGTCTCTGTCGGGGAAATGTGTGTGTGTGTGTGTGTGTGTGTGTGTGTGTGTGTGTGTGTGTGTGTGTAGACTAGAGGTCAACATTACTTGTCTTCCTCAATTGCTCTCTGCCTTTACCCTCTGTGACAGAGCTTTTCACTGAACCCAGAGCTCAGCAGCAGTTCAGCTAGGCCTGCTGTCCCTGCTGACAATCACAGATTCGTGCCACCACAGCTGGTTTTGACGTGAGTGCCAAGGATCCAAACTCAGGTCCACATGCTTGCCTGGAAGCAAGTTTACTAAGCCTACTCCAGAGATGTGGGAATTTTCTCTTTCATTTTATGAAGTCAATCTATTCTCAGGAAGCGGGGCCGTGTAGAGATCAGGAGTGTGGGTTACGAGTCACACTACTTGAATTCAAATCCCGATACCACCCTCACCAACTGTGGGATGCGGGACGAGGGATATGACCTCTATGAGTTCCCTTCTCTGTGAAGAGGCAGTCAGTGGTACTCTCTGTTCTTGTGGCTATAGGGACCTGAAAGGATTTAATACTTAAAGCCTCGGCATGAGACCTGCCTGTGTTCCGTGCTCAATAAACCGCTGTAGTTCTGTGGGATAAACGCAGGGCTGCCCAGGTTGCCACAGGGTGGGGGGGAGAGGGAGGAGGACTGTGGTCCCCGCCTTTCAGCCTCCACCAGCAGGCCTCGTGGAGGCTTCTGTGGCTCCTGCAGAGGCCTTGGCAGTGGTGGGCTGGCAAATGTTTAACAAGTGGCCCCTTCAGGATGGCAAGAGGGTGGAATCCTTGATTTCACCATTTGCCAATTTCCATTGTATAAATGCTCCCATGGTGACCAATTAGGAGATGGCACCATGAGGTCATTGAGCATGGAATTGGGAAGAGATGAACACAGTTGGTTCCAGGCCACCATTGGCCTTAAGACCCCGAAGGGCCTGGTATGGAAGCCAGAGAATCTTGGACACCTGCCCAGGTCTGGCTTTGGTGATCTTTCTCAGGACACCCCAGACTTTGGAGTTAGGCAATGTCAGGCTCACATAAGGGAACAGACGGAGTGGAGCAACCAGGAAAAGACTTTGGGAGGCTCAGAGTCGTGGGTTTTAATGGCTGATCCAAATGGCCCTGCGTCTAACAGTTCAGTGACTCTTAATTAGCTGAGATTGAATCAGCAGAAGCGCCTCCTGGCACTAGGAGGCCCTCCCTTCCCGTGCAGCCACTCAATTGCTGCCAGGGACCATTGGGCAGCACGCCTCTGCTGAGCGATGGGATAGTGGCGTAAGGCCGTGCATCGCAGAAACTTATCAAGGATAAGTCGTGGGCCTGTGTTTTGGGGTGGGAGGGGCATTGTGGGGAGCCTGAACCAGGATGAACTCGGCAGTTACTTGGGGAAAAAGCCCCCTGGAGATCCCAAGAGCTTCGATAGGAATAGCATTGGTACTGGAATCCAGGGGCCATCTCTGGGCCAGCGCTGTATGACTTGGTTTCTCCTTCTAAACAGTCGGGGACCAGGTTGCCCTTACTCTCAGGGGTTTCCTGGGATCAGGAAGATTGCTCTCTCTGGCGGCTCCATACATGGAAGAGGTTGAGTTCTAGTCCTCTGAGAAATGGCACAACACCCACAAGCTGACCAGAGAGGCCTAAGAAACCAGTCCATTGGTAGGGCGGGTGCTAAGCATCTCCTCCCGTCATCGTGAATAAAAGTGAGTATATCATGAGGTTTTCATAGGCTGAAATGGGAACCAGAAAACTTCAGACAAAGTCATTTTGGGGTCACACTCCTCGGGGAAAGAGCAGGGATGACCGATGGGTGAGGTATAATGAAATCAGTCATATTTAGCTTCTGTCTCCAAGGCAGAGACACAGAGGAGCAAGGCTGGAGAACAAAAGCCGTCTCCCTTGCACTTTGTCCCAGCTTCTGATTGGTTACTGCTGTGTTCCCCTGCCCCACTCACAGATGAACTTCTAGACTCAGCTGGATTCTGGCCCAGAAGAGCCCCCAAATCTACCCAACCTTTCAGTTCTGCTCTCACACTGGGCCAGCCCTGTCTTGGTTTCAAATACTAAAGAAAAAAAACCCAGATCGGCCCAAACCAGGACTTAAGCCACAAAAATCACAGGCCATTGTTGGCCAGCCTACAGAAGAGCCATCCTGTGACCCTAGCCAGAAAGGGGCATGGAATACAGAAGGGCTAATGGGACAGGCTCTTTAGGACCCAGAATGGGGGTGGGGGGCACACTAGTGCAGGCCTCTCTGGACCATCTGCCTTCCCTAGGACCTGACTCCAAGCTTCATGGCTCTCGATACAATCAAATTGAAAAAGCCCTAGTGGCCGGCATAGGAGACCACTGTGACAGTCATACATGCATACAAGGGTAGGAAAAGAAATGGCCCAGTGTCAGGGTTGAGGTTCTCCTCTATGCAAGGAGTCAAAATGGCTTTCCTTTATTGGAAACATCAGCCTTCGTCCGTTTGGGTTTCAATATCTGAAGCAGGCAAAAAGAAGTACCAGGGTTTCCCTTTGGAGTGCCTTGGAAGAATTCAGTGCAGAGTGGGAACGCACTAGGTTGACTCACATGAAATTGCTCTTTTATGGGACCAAAATGGTCCAGTGGCGACAATTTCATCTGGCTTTTCCTAATAGGAAGCCGGCAATACACAGGTTTTCCTTTACACCCTCACTCTACCATGACCTTCTCCACTAGAAAATATTGAAACCTCAACACACCGCCTCCAGGTCATTTACAGCTCAACACAAGTATGTAATAGACAAAACACCTCTCCCAGTAGACAGGCGAATAGGAGCAGGCTGGATCTCTGCCACCACCTTGTAAATGCCCTGCTCTTTGCTCTCAAGACATGGGAGACTTGCTGTACATGCATGGCACCAGACTCGGGCTTAGCAAAACTGTCAAAGCTCTGTGTCCTTTGGGCTGAACAATTCCAGAGAGGGGTTTTCTATGTAATCCTTTTATTTTCTCTCTTCCTTGAAAATTGGAGTCATTGCAATGTAAATACACACACACACACACACACACACACACACACACACACACACACACACACACACACAAGATGTCAATGGTTGATGGATGAGAGAGACACCAACATTCTCCTGGAATGGCCCTGCAGTTCCTCTGAGCACCTGTAAGACTTGGTGAAAGAGTTGGGGATGGAGGGTCGGGGGAAGTGAGGTAAAGCCCTGACAACATTGACCTAGGCCCAAGTCCATTGCTAACCTCTCTTTTTGTCTCTGGGCCTCAGCTGTCTTGTCAGCAAAATGAGACATGGTCAGATAAACTCTCACTTGTCTTTGGTACTGATGATGTCAGAGGTAAGGTGCACAGTGTAGATTACCTCAGAGGTGATGCAGCCAGGGATAACCCTGAGCCGACTGTGATGGTAAATAAGTGGTCCCTACCAATGCCTTCATGCCCTGGTCCCTGCTGTTCTTTGCCCCCTTCCCAGACTTCCTTCCTTCCTTCCTTCCTTCCTTCCTTCCTTCCTTCCTTCCTTCCTTCCTTCCTTCCTTCC